CACACAATTTTATTATGGTTATCTTAAACATGTGATGTAGTGGACGTAGTATCACCAAATGTCTGTCACTTCATTAATGTGTTTTTTTGGCATCAAGCAAAACTTTGGAAAATCCCTAGCATATACATTTTATGCTTTAGGAACATTTAGATTTTTTTATTATGTGTAGTCAAATTTGATAATATTGGATGGCCCACCATTCAGATTCATAGTGGTCATTTACCCACTTCATGTATAGAATGTTTATGAAAGTCCCAGTTCTGTTAAAACTGTTATTTAACTTTGCAGCAGCATTTGATACTGTTGATCACTCTTCCCTTTGCAGATGCTCTTGGCTCCATGTCTGTAGCTTCAGTTATCATCTGTGTCCTAAAGACATCCCAATTTTCTTCTCTGGTCCAGTGCTTTCCTCTGAGTTCCTAACCTTCATATTCAACAGCCTATTTGACTTTCCACTTTTCCAAAATCTAACTTACAGTCTTCTCTTGTGTTCTCCACCTTAATAAGTTTTGTTGTTACCCTTCTGGTTGCTCAAGCAACAAGAATTTCTTCTTGACATTCTACTCTGCCCTCATTCCATCTAATTCGTTGTTGATTCTATCAATTTTGCATCCTTAAGATCTCTGGAATCCAATTCATTTTTATCCATTGTTCTTCTGCCATACCCAAGCTAGCATTATCTCTGGTATAATACTGCTATATCTGCTTTTATGCACTGTGCCTGCAATGGGCTTTTTGAAACGCAAATCTGATGGAGTCATCACTCACTTTTTTCCCACTGCTCTAAGATCAGGGTCTAAATCTCTCACAGGTTCACAAGGCACTGCAGAGTCTGCTTCTGAAATTCTTCTCCCACCTCCTTCCCCCTTGCACTTTGTTTGCTCTGGGCTCCAATCAGTTTTGTGAGCCTGATATCCTTTCTCCTGATCCAGGACCTTCATGCACAGTGGTCCATGTTCTAGAAATGAGCTGTGCAATATTGTAGCCACTAGCCACATGTGATTATTCAAAGGAAATAAAATTAGAAATTCCGTTCTCAGTCCCACTAACTACATTTTAAGTGTATATCCAGCTAGGGGCTACCATATTGGACAGTGAAGATACAGAACATTTCCATCATCCTGCAAAGTTATATTGGACAGTGCTGTTCTAGAATATTCTTTACCACCTTCTACATGCACTCTTCCTCCTGTGTGACTTCCTTAAGGGAAGCCCTGTTTATTCTCTCCCTCCACTTCTACTAGAGTCAATTTTCTTTGTGTCTAAGTCCACCAGCCAAAGACTACCACAAACACATTTGCAGTCAAAGTTACACTTATTTAGCCTGCCTCAGCAGGGGACTCTTACAAGCATCTCAGGCAGGGACAGGTGGGAGGAGCTATGCATGGTGTTTGGTCTTGTGCTGGATGAGTCTCAGGAGGGATTATGGAAGTGACAACCATCTCTGGATTGGATATTGTCAAGACATAGGTGTACCCGGACACTGAGTATCTCTCAGTAATCGTTGTTCAGGAGATGGGATGAACAAAGCGGGGCTGAGGATGTCTTTGTAAAGAAAGCCACAGTCACTCAGAAGGAGGGATGTTATTCACTTTTGTAGCTGTGTTACTATCTTGCTGGGCTCTGTTGGAAGCATTGCTTATCTTCTGTTGGCCTTGTCTGTATCCCTCTGGAAACACTGTATTCTTAGGAACATCAAGACTGATTGCCGCTGGTGCAAATTTTCACCTTCTCATAGAAAGTGAATGTGATGTGCTCTCATCGACCTCTGTCGCTCTTCTTCAGAGTGCTTGCAACAGTTTGCATTTTTTTTTTGAATGAATAATTGTTTGATTAATGATTTTCCCACTAGACCAGAAACTTCATGAGAGCAGGGACTTCTTTTTGTTTGCCATTGTATCCATAGCACCTAGCACAGTGCCTGATATAAAGTAAATGTCCAGTAAATATTTATTGAAAGAGTGAATGAAT